CTGAATTAATAGCCTTGACACGCGCAGATCGCCTAGCGAAAGGAAAGCAAGTTAACATCTATACGGACTCTCGATGAGCCTTTGGAATATGTCACGTGGTAGGAATGCTGTGGAAGGAACAAGGATTCCTCACACCGTCAGAAAAAGTGTGTCAAACAGGGGGGAGATATGTGACTTATTATCCTCAGGATAGGTAGAAAGGATGAATAGGACTTTGAAAGAGAAATTAGCAAAAATCTGTGTATGTACAGGGCTAAAATGGCCAGAAGCCCTAAACTTACCTTTATGGGGTATTCAGAATACTCCAAAGCAGCCCATAGGGTTAACACTTGCAGAAATTCTTTTGAGGAGATATTTAACTGTACCAGGAACCTATATCCCAGCCAAGACCAGTCTATTGGATGGAGATGAGCGATTGATTTGGTATGTACAAGCTATGCAAAAAAGATTTGAAACCTTTAGAAAGCAAACCCGATGGTACCAACCCACTCTACTGAAAACATGGGTGCATGATATATTACCTGGGAATGAGGTTTTAATTAAAGTGTTTTCACGAAAGTCTAAATTAGGACCAAAGTGGGAGGGACCATACACTGTTTTATTATATTCTTGCTTCGCTGTAAAAGTTGCAGGTAAAGAAAACTGGATACACCATTCGCATGTCAAACAGGTCGTGAACAACCATCCACTAGATAAGTAATCCACCCCATGAGGTGGCTGGGCATACTGCTTACATGCTGGTGATGTTACTTACCTTAGCCCGTTATAGAGAATCAACAAATTTTTACTTACGACCCTATTAGTAATAAGGCCACAGCTTTTGTCCTAACAATAGACAATGCTTCGGTACACATTATTGTGCTGGGACTGAATCACAATGGAACTATACTCTATCCCGTAGAACATGGAGTGCAGGCCCTAAATAGTGGAAACAAATGGCAAATGGTCGATGTTAGCGCGTGCATCAGGCGAAAGCAACAGGGATTTATCTGTGAGAGGAATACTATCAAGGCCCAGAACATTTGTCTTGATACTGAACAAAATATCTGCCATTTTGAAATATATCCCGATGAAACTCCTGAAACTATATTTGTGTACCTTGGAAAAGAATATGTTTGTATGAGAACCTATTGTGATTTTATATCTGTAGATAATATAAGTGCCAGTAATCACTCGAATATTTGTATCTATAACTTTACTGAAATCCTAGGATGTGACTTTAATCACTCAGCTCCTGTTACATCTCAGCAGCTGTTGCAGTCCGATTACACACACATTCAAAATGTATTGCCTACCCCTATCAGGACGAATCTCACTTTAGTGAGAAAATTGCTGCAACAATTTGTACGAATTACTGAAACACATTCAAGATAATGGACAAAAAACTTTAATTACTGTTTATCACAATACGGAGGAAGTACACTCTGTTTTAGAAAGAGTAAGAAAGGATGGTGAGCATCAATGGTGGGAAACCCTTCTGGGATGGTCACCGACAGCGACAGGAATTTTAATCTCATACGCCATCCAGTAGTAATCTTACTAGCCTTAACACTGCTGTGCTTGTTACTTGTCACCATCTTATATGTAAGAGTATGGTGCCTGATAAAACAATTAATTGAAGTAGAAGTATTTAAATCATATAAATCAATACGCTAGAACACCGCCTGATTAGCAGAAGCGTATAACACATTATATATAGATTATTGATTTTTGCATAACTTATAAAGCCTTATTATAACTTAGAATATAGGAATACTGTGCTTAAGTTTAATTACTCACACATGTATTTAGCAGGAATGCTCATAAAAACAAAGGAAGGACTGTTAGAGAAGGGAATTGTAGCCGGAATTATGCTTCAGCTTAGCATAAGTCTGACTCTTGCTTAGCATAAGTGCCTAAAGCAGGTGAAGCCTGCAGGCCGCGGGACTGAACTGTAACCCAAAGAGCATTGCTGGCAACGTGACTGCAAAGTCAGCTAAAACCAGCCCTCAAGGGCACAGAGTGACCAGAGTGAAAAGAGGTAACAGCTGACCTTTGGATAAGATAAGGTGCTGTGGAGCAGGAACACAGCAGCCGTCCCGGGATGTAGATGTGAACCAATCAGAGGGAAAGAACCGACTCAGCAAAGAAGATTGGAAGAGACTATCACTGGCAGATGGGAAAATAAAACTGTAAAAAGTATAATTTCTTAAGGATTCTTTTGTTCTGGGTCCCTCCCCAGAGGTACCCATCTCGAGCTGTTACTTTGTCATACCATCATTTAATTAAATAATTAATTTTGCTGTTGTACGTGCGTGAAACTCTGCTCCTTGGAAACCTAGGGTCAAACTATTTCCACAACACAGTCCTTGCACATCTGCAAAAGAACATACCTGAAACAGTGCAAAATATACTACAACAATCATGTGTTGTCAGTTATTAGATATGAATCTCACACATAAAGCAGTATACTGCTGATGGATCATAAGGGACAGCCTTGTCTAGCATCTTTCTTAAGTTTTTCAAGGAAAAATATGTTAACAGAACAGAACAAGTCTCCTGTGCTACTTCATACGAGAGCAAGTTTCCCCTTAAATATGATAAGCAAGTCTTTGAAAGTTCATCGACTGTAGCTTGTCCTTCAGAGATCTTAGCGGTAACTTTGTACATCTGAATAAAGCCTACAGGCACTGTTACCCTTCTGTTAGCTCTTCAGCTCTTCTTCATTGCCTCTTGATGGATAGCACCATGTAGGTATGCACAGATGCACGACTCAGCTTCCATCTACTATCATCTCATAGAACTCCTTCAGGTCCCTCAATTTTTGTCTTGCTTAACTGGGCAGTTGTTATAATCAGCACTTGGGTGGAGTTAACTTACCTTAATTTAGCTTCAATTTTATGTTTCTGCTTTGGGTTGTTTTAGGAGGCAGTGACTTCAAAGCAAGAGAGTCGCCACACAGATGTTCTCCATTGAGTCCTCTGCAGTTTGAACATACCTGCTTTCTGACCAGGCTTTAACAATACACATCTTTTCGTAGAGCTAGCATTTTGTTTAGGTTATATCCATTGGTATTAATGGTTCTGTCATCTACTTATTAATGCTGGCTTTAGCAGATAGTATTACTTAACCACCCTTTTTTTTTTTTTTTTTTTTTTTGTAGCTCCTACTGGATTCCCTTATCCTGTTTTTGAAATAGCCTTATTAATTCTGTGCCGATAATTAAATTTGTCACTAGTTCACTTCCTTCTCCTTTTAAATAAATATATTAACCAAAACTTGTCATTAGTATTGCCACTTAGCATATTTCATCAATCGCTATATTTCATGCTTTGCAATAAAAGTTAACTTAACATTTTGTTTCCTGTCATTTAATTATTCTTTGACTTATAGTAGGTTTTTTCCCCCATCCAACAATATGACAACACACTTTCTTAAAAAGTTAATCTAGGATGCTCTGGTGAAAACCTTATTAGAATCCAAATAAACAATATCAATCAATTCCTTCACTACCATCTGCTTGATTAGCCTTAAGCAATTAAAAATGTGACTCTCACTCAGGAATCTTGGAATTAAATATGGTATCCTGTAATACGTTTGAAACGTACAGATTATTTCAAAGGCTATATCGTCGCAGTGATGACAAATCATAAAATACAGATAACTTTCTACAATAATTCTTTTTTTTTCTCATTATAGATGAACAAATATGTTGGAAGGAGACAATTCTTTCAACTGAGCTTAGCGTAATGACAACATATTCTGAAATAAAGCTTGTTTTATACTACAAAAATATAGCTATCTACAGCTCCTTCTGGAAAAACAGAGTGGTTAGGACAATACTCAGGTTTTTTTTTTTTTTTTTTTTTGACATAAGAAACTGAAAATAGCACCATTAGGATAGAGATTTAAAACATTTTTTTTTCTACATCATGGCTTCAGATCTACTGTGCTCATCATGGTTATTGGAAAGAATTTCATGCAGTTTCTCTTCTTCTGGAACCTGCCATGAAAACCAAAGAAGAGTTCAGTCAATGACATATAGAACTCGTTTTGTCCTAAGAGGAGATTAATCTCTCCTCTTCTCTGCACTGAGAAGGTCGTTCTGTTTATATATGTTATCTATTTACTAACAGTGACCCAGACTTACATCAGCCAGCAATTCTGAATTCTGAGGAATGAATTCAGGTGTTCTTAATAGAAGAATACCGTAACATTCACTCTAGCTACCAGTGTGCAAAAGTAATGCCTGGACTTTCAAAGAGCTCTGAGGAAACAAGGTGTCCATCTCTAAAGGGACTCAAAGGAAGTTGTATGCCAACTGTAAACCTCCTTTCCTACTAAAGCTCACTTATCTTATTTCTATGAGTAGTTCTACTGATACTACAGGACCTTCAACTGAGCACAGCTGTATTATTATCACTGGTCAACACAGGGATAATCCAGTCATTCACGGGCTGTGAATTCTTCTGTCACACTTCAAAGTTTTCTTCTTCCTGTCATTTTTCAGCATTTATATATGACAGCCTGTTTCAAGACTTACTGTAAACAGTGCTTGTGACTCTTCCAAGGTCAAATAGCAAATGACTTGCAAAGCTGTCATTAAAAGGTGCTTTTTTCTGATTGTCCCCTCTACCGCTCATCTTTTGGCTCACAACTTCCCTTCTGACCAAAAGCCGAATTGCATTGTTCCTGCCTGAGATTTATTCATGAGAAAATTAATAAATTCTCCTTTTAGGTTCACATTATTTTATTTACGTGAAATTTATATCATGCCTTTCTTATCTTACCTTTTTGAGCTTGTCCTAGCATAAAAGACAAATTTCAGACTGCCTAATTTAAGATTATGTCATCAGTCTATACTGAAGAGAGATGCAGAAAGCCTACAAATAGAACTAGGAGTTTCTTAGGTTAGCCAAGATGAAATGTTTGTCTGAGTTTGTGCACTTGATTGTATTCATCTAACTCAGAGATAGGTGTGAGACTGAACTGATCAAATCTAGATGTCTGCAGTGTAGAGCTCCACATCTTAAGTAGTCAATGAAGGGTCCATCACAATCAGAGGAGGGCATATGGACTCTTAAGATCCTATTTCATCTAACCCTAATACAGGTCTGAAATGATTCAAATGAACTGCAATCTAAAGCTATCTTTCTTTGAGTATAGAAGGACTATTTCAGAGGTAGTTTTTTCTCATCCCCATCTGCATCTTCATGCTTAAACCAACAGTGCCAGGAGGCAGGTCTTCTTCTGAACAATAAGCTCAATTGTCAGATCACTAAATCAGGAAGCAGAAGAGCTTCTCTCAGTCTAAGGGAGACTGCCTCTATAAATAATGAATATATGCTCTAAATTTCATTTGGCAGGAAATCTTAGATGGTGTTACAAAAACAGTCAAGAATGTTGCTAAATATGTTTCTAAATATCAGCAAGGAAGAAGAAACCTACAGAGTAGGAAATGAAAAGGGAATTAAAGCAATTCTGGTCTCAATTCATTGGCTGCATTTCTACTTTTTGCTCAAGGCCAGTATAATGTAAAAGACAGGACTAGGTAAGAAGTCCAAAAAGATACTGGAGACCTTGATAAAGTCAAAGGCTGATGCAAGGCAACAGTTTCAAAGCTGACTCTTGTGTGCAAGTGATCCTTTCTATTTTAACGAAGGGTCACACTGTGTCTCCACAAACACCAAAACAAGACTGTAGTGCTGTACATCTTCCTACGTAACAAAATTAAAGCTTCTCCAACAGGATCATTTTCCAGTCATGGATTGTATCTTACCTCCCAGTAAACAGAGTCATCAAAACAATTCTGATCAGATGCTTGTCCCAAAAAGGGCAGCTTTAGAATGCCACCTGCAGGGAAATGGGTAACAGAGGTTAAAAAATGGACGCTGTGCCCAAAAAGATATTTCTCAGATGTGCCCTAGGGAATCATTTAATTTCTTTACCTTGTTTTCTAGTCTACAGAAACGTACAGCCCTCCTAGGACACTGTGCCTCTCACCAGAGGTGATGAAGGTTGCTGCATGTTGACGTTGATCATCACTACCCATTAGCTTCTTTTATTTTGTTCTCTGTCCCTCCTTAGCTGCTATTATGTCCTTAATCTCCCAGAGCTCTACACAAACAATTTTAATTTTAGCAATTCCTCCCTTTTAGGAGATTAACTTTGTAATAGCCTTTATGTTAGATCTTTGGAGGTTTGTAAACATGCTATCTTTATCTCTGATTACCTTTCAGGATTTCTTAGTGATAGCGATGGATGGAGCATGCACGGATATCCAAAAGGGAAGTGTAAGTCACACGTAGCGTGCAAACAAAATCCTATTTGGATCTGTTCGCTTTCTCTAGAGCATGGCCACAAGTGACCACATAATCTAATCTGTGCACTGGGAACTACTAGACTGCATGACTGAAATTCTCCCTTTTCCCTTGAAAATCAAATCTTAGATTTTTCACATGAAATTGTTGACACGTTGAAGTTCTCCTTGGGCACATCTCCAAATTCACATTGCTTTTAACTAATGTATACATCACACTGACCTGTCACTACTCCGCCTACCAGCGCAATTCCGATTGTACTGCCCAGGGCAGCAGCCTGTATTTCAGGAGTAAAGTGGACAGTTGACCTGTAAAGGACAGAAAAGTAAACCACAGGCAACTAAAAATTGTTACATTTTGACGATGAGCTTCTGTCTTACAGCTCTGTTAATGTTTGCTCTCCGCTGGACAGGATGGCTTATATCTTGTCACTGCTGCGACCATGGCATGAACCATGTGAGACTGATCTTATTTCAGCCTTATTTTAGATTAAAACACAGCATAAAGTTTTTTAAAAGCTTATTAGTATCTTATAAACCTTCAGGCAATGTTACCCTTTGTGAAAATGACCACCATTTCATCTCCCTGTAGCCTTCTTTGTAAAAGAGTAAAGTAATCAATTTTTGCAATTGATCTGTTTCTTGAATATCTTAGAGCTTCCAGTGGTGTAATTGCAGACTCATGATAATGATTCTATTACTTTTGATGAATTGTGCTGTGTGTTGTTGCTTTTTATGATTTTTTAATTTTTACCTGAGCTTTTAATTTGGAACAAGCTTGGCATATAAACCGTGTATTAAAGGAGGGATATCAAGAAGAGTTGTACTTAAACCGTAACACCATGTCTGGCATCAAGCCAAAGGTACATTTTATGAAAATAAGTCATAATTAAATCCAAGGAAGGCAAAAAAATTAGAATAAGTCTTCACTAAAGAAACTTCTTTCTCTCTTCTCTGTAACTTACCTGCTTTCTTCTTTCATTGCGGTTACAATGATGCCTGCGATACCTCCCAGTATTCCAGGTAAACCATGTAAATTATGGACTCCACAAGTGTCATGAATGTTCAGTTTGGAGGCCATAAAAGGCTGAAATGAGAGGAAACACAAAGTTTATGGTGAATGTATAGTCTTCCATTACCTCTAGAACGATACGCAAAAGAAATAGAAGAACAAGAATCAGTTAAGCATGTTTCACATACATAGGTAAAGTTTGGCTATAAAACCTGCTATCTTCCCCTTCATTGTGAAACTATGTACATAGAGAAAACTAGGTAACTATAATGGTACAAATGTACAGTGTGCCATTCTAAGTATAATGGTACAAAACATGCTAGTTCTGTGATGTTCCTGATCTTTTGAGGCACTGTAAGAAAGATTGAAAGAAGTGGCTGATACGTGCATGACTATTCTGAGTCTACTAGTCACTTTCTTCTAGAATGTTTCTCCATCAGGAAATGGCAGTTTGTTAAAATCAGAAAAAGTAGCACTCCCAAAATGGAGAGTTTTAGTCAGAATACTTTATTTTGCACATGAAACGCTTCCACTTTGGATTTTAAAATTATTTCCATTACAGATTTATTCAGAAATCTTAAAACACTGAAATTTAGTTAATACAATTTCAGTGATCTGAAGCACAGATCTTCTGGTGGAGGTTGCTTGGGAAACATGGTCTCGGAGTAAAATTCTGCCAGTTCCTTGAAACAGAAATCCCAGGTTCAATGAACTCTAATATCTACATGATCCACCTAAATTTTTACCTAGACGATAAATTCAAGATGGTTCATAAACAGGCATTTAAGTCACACTGATTTCAAAATAAGTTAACTAGTACTTGTAATCTATAGAATATAAGACAGTTACTAAAATTCCTTTCTAGTAAACTAAGTCAATGAAGTAATAAAGTAAATGAGAGCAGAGGCAGGTCCTAGATACTTACAGTCAGGAACTTGAACCCAAGGACAGAGATGATCCCGGCAATACTCCCAATGCACATGGCACCAAAAGGGTAGATTGACATGTCAGCACAGGTACCCACTGCTACTCCTCCTGCCAGGGTGGCATTTTGAATAAGAACCTGCACAGAGTTTATAGTGCTGAAGATGAAGCCAGGAAGGCTTGTTTGGGTCTTTTTTTTTTTTTTTTTTTTCTTTTTCTTTCCGCTAGATAGGAATAGTCTAATGAAGATTGAACAGGAATTTAAAATGTTCCTACCTGCTGCGCATTTCTAGATTTAGTTCAAAACTGCTTGGAGCCAGTTTAGCCTGGATCTGCTATGGGTATATCCCCCTTCCTGGCTTCTCACAGCAGACTCCCCTTTGTTCTTCTGTAAAGTTACTGAAGTTCACTCGAACTCTTGCTAAGCCTGGCTGAGCCAGCAAGGACTGCATCCCGCAACAACAGCAGCAAATTCTACAAATTCATTGAACTGGACCACCTCACACTAGGCTTAGACGATCACTGCAAAAACTGGAAAGTAGTGGGTGAAAACATGAATTTTAAGGCAAGGAGAGGAAAGTGTGGGATTCTGGCATCTCCAGTCTCCTTTGACTTTGGCTGCTGTGCAGCTGATTCGTGTAAGTTCTTCTTTGGAACAAGACCTCCAAATCAACCTGAACTTGTAAGATGCCTAATGTGCCTATGGCCCATTTGGTTCTGTGGACAAGAGAGATTAAGGGAGCAGAACCATCACTATAATGCCTAAGAGCATCTGGGCTCTCCAGATGAAGTGATCCCACTGAGGATCACATTGAGTATGTGCAGGGAGGGATGACTTATGCTCCAACCTGACATTGTACCTTTTAGAAGCATAATAGCACTAATTTTTCCCACACGTTGAGCAAAGGCTCCAGATAGCTTACAAATGTTGAAAATCTACAGAATTATCCTTACTACAGAGGGATGACTCAATTTAACAGAGGGTTTGACATGACTCTTACCATACTGAATTTGCCTCTCTGATCCACCAGGCTGGAGAGGGCAAATGTTACGACAGCACATGCAGCAAGGGAGTAGTAAGTGTTGATAGCTGCTTTAGTCTCGTCACGTGCAATGGCAGAGTTAAAACTGGGCCAAAACAGCCAAAGGAATAGGGTACCTAGATGAATACAGGATAAACTGAAACAAAGACTGCTCAATCACAGGGGTATGTTAGTGTGAAAAATTCAACACAAAAGAACTACCTACAGGAAGTCAGGAAGATTCTCGGTATGAAAAATGAAATAATCAAAATCCTGGAAGAAATAACAGATTATGCAGAAGCTTTTGATACTAGCAGCTGGGATTCTGACCCATGGTCTCTGTCAAATCTTGCTGCAGGACTTTAAGATATAATAACCCCTTGCCATGTCCTACATACAGCTTACTTACAGAGCTCACAACCTTTGTAAAAATGATGGCAGGATAGGATATGTGCTGGTGCAAGACAGTTTACATACAAATCCTTTATCACCTATTGATATAAGCGATAAGTTTAGCTGATAAATTTATTTATGGACAGGGTCAGTGAGAGATAGATGAATATCCCATTCCATAAACCATATATTTTGTAACATTTATTAGAGGGACGGAGCACTGCTGAATATGGCCAATTTCTATGGACATGCATGCTTATACCAAAAGTCACAAAAGGGGACTCCCCACCAATGCACAGTGAAAATGCATCTTTAATTTGAGGTTTCCTCTTTTTATCCAAAGGAAAAAATGTAAAAATGTGAGTTTCACTGAAAGCTTAAGGCATACATTAGACAAAACAGAACATGACTCCAGAACTGTGTCTGGAAAAATGGATGCAGCATAACAATAGGTAATCTTCAAAACAAACTGAAAGAAGGATGGACAACTAATCAGAGCTCACTATTACTTCCCTGTGCTTCTTCTACTTACCAATCATGGCAAATATGTCAGAGTGGTGGCTTGATTCTTCATTTTCATGTTTATTTTTCAAACCAGGACGATACAAGACTAGGGTTACAGCCAAACCAAAATAAGCTCCAAAAGCATGGATAGTCATTGAGGCTCCAACATCAGTGGCCTGCAACAGGGATCCAAAACAATATCATAAATTTTAAATAGAGGAAGGATGAGGATCTGGTGAATGAGAAGACTGGATAACTCTGATGGTTTATTTTCTATGGAATAGAGTAGAATATATAGACTAAAAGTATTACAAAGTGAAAACATCACTAATAAGAATGCATGTGACACTATAACTACAAATCAGAATTTATATGAAACACTTTTCTACTGATCTTTTTTAGTATGGTCTTTATTGATTTTTTTGTCTAATCGTATTGGAAAGCAGAATTCCTAATCACTGGTGAAGGATTGCAAGGGATTTTATGAGTGAATATGGTAAAAAGTGAAACATCTCAAGATTCTTCAAAATTGAGTTGTTAGATTTCAATCGGGATAAGGCATTCCTTGCTCAAGTGCCTCTCCAGCTTAAAAATGCAACATTCCTTGACTAGGCTTGACTATACTCTGAGCATAGTATTTACATATTTACTAAACTAAGGGAGATGCAGGGAAAAATAAGATAGTTTAAGATCAAGGAAAGAATATTCAAAGATTTCTGTAATCAAAAGCAAAATCAATGCAATAGATGTTAGAAGATCTTTAGATATGGACACTAGCTTGCTTTTGGCCCTCCTGACCATATCTATTTCTGTAATGCTTTCTTCTAATAAATAGATGATGCTATTACTTTCATGAGTATTTTTCAAATATATACCTAAAATTACCATCACTTTTTTCCCAAACCACGTAATGTTGAAGATAATGCTGAAGCATTTATTAGGGGATATGCTACAGTCAGAAGCTGGTAAATGGAAACATGCGGCATAATACAAAAGTGAAGTCGTCCACTGACATTTGAGATGTGCTCCAGAGGCCAGTGTTGAAAAGCACAGGTCATTATAGCTCCTTTGTCACTATATAGACAGAAGCAGTATCTTAAGTTGGGGTGCAGCAGTGAGATATCTGAACAAAAGAAGCCAGACTGAAGAAGAAGAAGAAGAGCAAAGACTTGGGGAATCCAATGTGAGAGGAGGTAGATGGCTGTGAAAGACAAACTATTCAACAACTACTTCTAAATACTTTTACCTGCAGTATTTCTGTAACTAGATGTTCATTGCATGCAAAGATTGTGATCTCCAAAATCGTCAAGATCAGCATCTGAACTGGACTTGTTTTCCCCAGGACTACTCCAAATGAAATTAAAGCAGTTGCTGTACTGAAGTCTGCATTTATCATGCTGAAGTTAAGAACGTAAATAAAAATAAAACCAAAAGAAGAGAGGAAAAAAAAGAGGCAGAAAAAGAAAAATCAGTTTCCTGGAAATAAAGATGAACTAAAACTTATCATATCAGTAAAATGATAAAGTTTTAACACTTGAGTTTTAAAACCATTAGGCTACATTCTGCTCTTTGTGGACAAAAATTAAACTTTTCCTTTCCTAGGCAGGGGGATCTTATGGGTTACTAAGGGTAGAGTGTGGGAAGGTTACCTGCTACTTATACCATATTTGTGTGCAGCTGGTTGAAATTACAGTGAAAAGTCACATGAGACTTTTACTGAGGATGCACAGAGATATTTCCATTTCTTATTGTTGCTTGAATTCCGAAGGTAACAGGGAGCTTCTGGTTTTGGTCGGATGGTTTAGCTCATGTCAAAAGCCCTACATGCCTTTCTGACATTGTGCATCAGGTTTGCACTAGCTGATGTCAGGAAGGAGCAGTGTTAGCAGGTTACGGGAAATGGCAAAACATTCAGGAGCTATTTATATTATCCTGCACGTCCCTCAGTAATGTTTGGATGCTCTTTCATTCAAAATAGTCTACAAGTTTTCTCAGGAAAGAGAATTGCAGATGTTTACGGCACTCTGAGACCTTGGCAGATGCAAAACAGATAAGTGGGAAGAGGGTTAAAAATATTTGGAGACATTCATGAGCAAAGGTTTCTGATTCCAGGGCTGGAGTCCAAAGCCTATTGCAGCGCCTGAAAATGGGCCCTAAGCAAGATGATTATGCCAACAATTTCTCTAGAAGTAGGAGAAAACCTCACATGTAGATAAACATACCGGTCCAGCCATTCCTCTGTGACACCATGTACCATGAAAGGACAGGGTACATGTGCCTTTTGTGCCTGCTAGGTGAAGGAGAGATCTGGAGAGCTCCTGGTGCTGTGCTGGTCAGGGAAATATTGCAACTTCCAGGGCTCTAGAAATTCAAAAGGATCTCTCTACATGGCACATGGCCCACCTGTAACTTAGGACCAAAATTTCATCCTGTTTTCCCTTGGCCCAATCCACTAGTGTTGCCCCTTGAGAGGTGAAAGATTGATGAATGCCAAGAGGCGTGCAGTAACGCTCTATCACATTTTAGTGAGCTCAGAAGTCTAATCTCACAGCTGTTGTAGTTTTATGTCTTTTCCTGATATCTTAAGGGGGAGATTATCAATTCTGGAAATGTTGCACATACCTTTTGATATCAACATTAATTTTTCCTCCTTTCATGTGCCAAAATCCTTGCACCAGGGTGCCCCACTGGAGACCCAAGGCAGCAATGAGCATGTTGATACCAACACCGCTGAATCCATATTTCTTCAGAAAGGTCATCAGGAAACCAAATCCAACAAATATCATCACATGGACATCCTGAAAAACTTAAGGGGGAAAAAAAATTTATGCAAACAGGGACTGTAGACACAGGAAAGTCAGGGACAAAGGAGGGTTTAATAAAAGGGAAATTGATTTCAAACTCATATTGTCACTACGATCCATCCATCCATATTTGATGACGACCCTGCTTGTTGCAGATTGAATGTTTTGAAAATTCACGACCTAAATATTTTGTTATTCTGAAGTGTTTAATGTGATTTAATAATCTCTGCAACTACCAGATCTGAGTCCCGTAATTAAGATGTTTTTCTGATTTTATTGTTAATAATATTGTTTCTCTCAATAGAGAGAAACTCTTTATTTTCATTTCTCTTTCATTGGTCCTTAGATGTAGATATGTAGGAAAAACTGAGACAGTGAGCTAGTAAATGTAATATTCGGCTTGAAGTTACATTTGCCAGTTGTGATACTTTCATATGATTCCTATAATTTTGCTACATGCATTGCCATCTTCAGCCAAAAGAGGGCCCATAACCACAATAAATTACTGGAGATCCCCAATAAGCTGTACTGTACTTCCATTGTCACATGCTAGTACTGACATAGCACTGAAATGCATACATGCGTGCAAATAAGAACGTTTACATTGGGTTGCACACTCTTAAGAATTAGGGTCTAAAGGCCCAGACATGCCTGTCACTTTCACTTCCTTTTTGGACTGGATTTTTCACATATATTTACTGACTTTGATAATAGGCAGGGATGTGAGTTTCTGAGGCTCCTGCAGTCCTTTGGAATCGTCCCCTTTTCCATTATTCGGTTTCCAGAACTACCTTCCAAAATTTTGTGTTGTACTTACTACTTATTTTAAGAGATACACAGTCAACTTAGCTCCCTCATTTGGACTGCTGCTCTTTTGATATACTTGCAAATTTTGTATTGCAAAGCTGAGTGAAAATAATCATCTTGCTTAGAGTTCAACATATGTCCTTGCTTTAAAGGACTTTGCAAGAAACTGAAAAGATATGCCTTGGGATAACATAAACCATGCTTAAACAACCTTCCTGATCTTACCAGCAGCAAAATTTTTATGCAATCAAGAATTTAAAATAGTACAGTGCATTCCGTATTCAACAATAGTTCTTAGGGGTCCCATTATTTTTAGGGTTGGGACACTAACTACAGCTACCCTGACATCTGCTGATGCTCAGCAGTTTAGTTGGATTCATAGGCTTGCAAGTGAGACAAAAATGTGTTGGTAGGTCATGTGAAAAAGATCTTCTCAAATAAGGGAAGGAGTAATTAGAGATCCTCCCCTCTCCCCGCCACTTCTTTTGGAGGATATGTGAAAATTGGATACCTAACAAGCCTTTTTCTCCTCTTTTTAAAGTAATTTTCTACTGGTGACTCTTCACGCAGTTCTGTGCAGGATCAGCATCCTTGTATAGTAGAAATGGCCCAGTTTATGGGACTGACTCTTGTAAAGCTATTCTATAAAAGGCTTGTTAATGGTGCCAAACAAATTCAGAACTAGAGTGAAAGTCTATAAAAGAAGCAAATTCTATGACAGTAGCTCTTTTGTTTGACTTCTAGAGAAACAAGTGGAAATGTATTAAATAAATTTATTAGCATAACAAGTTACAAAGAGATACAGGGCTTCAACAATTCAGTTTTTATCACAAATGAGTTTCATACACAAAATGAGAGGTGCATTTGAAAATGACCCACTGCATGCCTTTTTAGAGCCTGAATCAACCTAGGTTATGGATTTCCAGTAAAGCCTAAGGAATAACCTAATCCTTAATTGCACACATTCACAGAAGCAGCCAGCTCTGTATGAGAGGGTTCTCCCAGTCTCCCGGGGGGACTGTGATTTGTTAGTATTCATCATATTATTTTCACTTGTTTATAATGTGCTGGTTAAGTCATTACGGGCAAAGTAAGTAAAATGCTCTCATCAAAAAAATGCCATTTGTATTCACAACAGTGCAATGAATCATGTCTAGATTAGTAAAAGATGCTTTACTGCTTAAGTAACCTGACACTAACTAAGCAAGGACCAAAGAACGTTTTTCAAAAGCACCTTGATGACCGAGTAGTTTAGTTATCAATGCCCCTCAACTGTGCTTCTGCATGCTCAAGTCTATTTTGAAAGGTGCTTTTGGAAATCTTACCACAGCCCTAAAGATGCAATTCTTCTGGAAGCAAGTGGCTTGTACACATGTAATCCTGAGGCCTCCTGAGGGCTATCCAGGACTCATATAAATATTTTAAAGCTGTCTGGACTCACTTACACATCAGATCAAAAGTCCTGCGGAAAACTGGGTTAATTCATAGATGTTAAGGACAATTTTCACAAATTGAAGATCTGGAATTTGTCTAGTATGGACCTTGTGCTTGAACTACCTCCTACCCTTTTTTTTAAACAACAGTAGGTCTGTAATGATTTTAAATGATGGAGAAAGCAGCACAATTTGAAATAAGCTGTTTCAATGACTAATTGTGTTTAATAAAATATAACACTTCTATTCTGTGAAACAGGAAGAGAAAGATTGTGAAGAATGCTCCAGCAGATCCTGGACAAAATCAATGCATGCAGTTCTGCCAAGGCTGCCTGAAGTCAATATATTAATTTCACTACAAGGTCTCTGCATGATGGTCAGTCTCAATGCAAAGATGTTTGTAAAATCGAGTTTTATACTTAAACTGTAATTTTGCTGTGCCTGAAAAAGAAAACCTTGCAACCCAGAACAAGAAGAGCGCAGAAGCCTTTCTGAGCTCTGGGACATGGGTCAGATACAGAACATTACATCCTGGATGCCAGCACTGAAGAAATTGCCTAGGAGTACCTGCGAAACCACTGCTCACCCTTTTCCTGCCATTGCAATGGTACACCACACACAAAGTTGTCCATCCAATTCACCATTGCTGTACTTAGTTCCTCTAGAAATAGATATGATGCAAAGCTATATTATGGGAATGATCTCAGCTCAGGCCTCCTAATCTGAACGCCAGATTATAGTGGCCTTCAACTATTTTTTTCGACTTTCTAAGGAATGAATCCAAAAATGCTGAAACAGCTCATTCCATGGCACTGAGGTATTTAAAGCGTACAAAAGCAGTCCTTACACTGCAGATCTGGCAATATAAACCGGACCCTAGATGAAGCAATTAAATCTACCGTGGAACAAGGTACAGATGAAGCTACCATCCCAGGGCTGCCTGGAGAGAGCATGTGAAGCAGTTTGGTTCCATCATTTTGTGAGTTCAGGGGAAGACTTGTCTCAGAATATGTCTCAATACATCTATACCACCATGGTCTTAACTTTTGGCCAGATACTCCTGAAAACTCTGTGCCTTTATGTGCACTTTGTAGATAACGATCTTTATGAGAAGATGGTCTAAAAGTGAAAGCACGGGTATCAAGAAATACTGCTTCTTTTTCCCACTTGTTTACTGTGAATAGCATTCATCTAATCTTAGGTGAGTGCCTAAAAGCCCATCTATTATGTTTACTTAGTTTATATCCATACTAGTCAACTCAATAGCCCAGGGCCTGTTCTCTGGCCAAAGGACAAATGACACAGCTTTACTCATATCCGCACAACTAAGCAGTATTCTCACCCATGCCGTGTATTATGAATAGTCCTTGATCCATGCAATGCCTAAAGCCATACTGAGGCATGCTGGAGATCAGGGTGCTGTTTTCCATGAGCCGAAACCGTGCCAGAAGCTTCCTACCAGTTCAATAGTGTGGACAACCTGGAGACAATGTACTATTATAAGGTGGTCATAGACTGCCTTTGAGGGGCGAGAAACAGAGCTGGAGAGAGAAAGAGAGCAATATTTTCCATGTATTTCAGGCACTAGTCTTAGAGAGGAAAAGACTATAGATGATCCCTAACTGAACAGCTTACATTTTAAGGCCTATGTTTTTAGAGTTAATATCCTGCACTTTCTCTGCCCTCCTTTTAAAGTAGAGATGTCAGAGTGAAAAACAGGGCTCCGCACAAGGGCAGGGACAAGGTTTTGTTTGATGCTGTTTCAGGAGCTCCCCAAGAAATTCTGCACCCATGGTGCTACGCGAGGCACAGAAAGCTTCTGTCCAGAAGACTCCAGAAGACTCACAATTTAAAAAGAAATGTGCTTCACTCTGATTCTTAAAAATGGCCAACCCAAGCACCTCCTTTCTTTTTCCTTTGCAAGGGGGACTCCAAGAAAGTGCAGGGCAGCAGAGTACTAGAGCCAGAAGGGTGATATTCAACCTGGAGAAGGTTGTTCTTGCAGAGCAAATAGATCTTAACCTGAGTGTGAGGGATACATGACCTAGATGGCTTCCTTACGGCTTCCCAAACTATACCAGGAGGCAGATGCCCAAAACACTATTGGTCTGTGACTGTACTTGTGGTTATTGTTTTGGGGAAGAGAAGAAGCAGCTGGAGAGGTGTTTTAGGCTATAGCTTATGTAAGTAAAATAAAAGTACTACAGTACAACGGTCATCTGTGCTGTTAAAGTGTTAGCATAGTCCCAGGCATGGTTTTGGCCTAGGCCATCTACCACTGTGCCAGGCAACAGTGGACCTGAGATCATTGCCAACATACTGTCGGGATGCAACCAACTAGTTTAGGAGCTGAGATAGTTCAATATGATGGACATAGCCAGGCTGTGCCTCAGACAAAGAATAAGCTCTGGCACAGCTTAATTTACTAGTAAATTAAACTGAAGCAAACTAATAGGCAGTGCAAAATTCATCTCTTGGAGACACTGCTACATTGCAATGGAGTTGCCTGTAATTGGCCCCTGATGTTCATCAGCTGACTTGCATCTGGAGCTGAATAAATCCCTGTATTCACTGCTCTCAAATGGACAATGTTCTGTGTAAGGATTTACAACGCACGGCTAATGAGGTGTGAACTGACCCCAGGACTACATTCCCCTGTAACAGCTGCTGAAAGGCCTTCTGGAATAACACAAAAAGAGCGATATATACATGTGTACTACATGCAGGCTAGGAATTCTGCATCGTTTGATCATCATTAAGAGGATTCCACTGAGGATTACAAATTTTTACTATATCAGAGCCAAGGAGAACAACAAACTTTCATTAGTTTAAGACACAGGATGTTCCTCTGCAAACTTCTCTTGCTATTTATTCGTAAAGGCTGACTCTTCGCCTGAGAAAGGAAGGTGGGAGAGGTCAATAACTACTTCTCATACCAAAAGCATTCTCCCTAGACTCTATCAGGCATTTTAATAATGCTGAATATGCTGGCTGTTTTCATGTTGTGATAAGATGGCCTTTTGAAACCTGGTTAATAGTAATGGCAGGCTATATTCATTGTCTTTTTTTGATACAGTAATCAGAATAGAAGGACTTGCAAGGAGCACTGTCATTCGCCTCTGGAAAATGGCAGAACTGTTCAAAGAAATTCAGATTTCTCCAAGTTTCAACCTATTATACAAACACTAGGACTCTTTTCAGGACTTTTCTCCTGGAATGGCTAACTTCTCAGCAGTTAGTCACTTTCGGAACATATGCACTCAACTGGAATTTATCTTTGAAGTCTATTGCTTTCACACTTGAGAAAAAGTTTATCTCAAAGCCTGCCTTTCTTTTATAGCTATATTATTTGGTCTCATAAATTATATCCTCTTTATTTAGCAACCTTGCTTAGGATTATTTCAAAGAACTTCTAACTTCTGTAAAAGTTAGATAGCAATACTTACGTGGGTATATATTTTCCTGGGAGGCATCGCTTCTGTCATATTCCACAAATATCCCAAACAAAACAATGATGATCACTTCCAGGAGAAGAGCCAGGAGAGAGAACTTGAACCTCATGTTGGTGTCAAGGGCTGAAGGCATTGCAGGACAGCAGAAGGCTGCGAGAGCATGATAAAGAAAGGGTTGCCTAATTCAGTGATATAGCAAGGGAGAGACAGGCGAACCCACTGTCACACCCACTATGGGAGGGAAATAGTATAGGTCGATATAGTAATTGCTGCTCGCCGGGCTATTTCTGTGTATGAAATGTTGGTTTAAAATTTGTTCAAATTGTATTACTAAATAGCTCATTTAATCATAGATAGGCTTCTCAGTATCTTATATATATTTTAAAAGGAAATAGTAGCCTGGAAGAAAAATCTCACATAGCCCGATTTGCTGCACATAGCAAGGAATACAACGGCAGGCTGTTATGTTTCCTGCAGTCAATCCCTTCTCCAAGCTGTAGCTTTAATTTTAAATAGATAGATTTTTTTTCCATGTGATATTAAATGTGGATAATCTCCTGTCTCGTGGCAATAGGATAAGTAAGCAAAGTGAATTTATTTCACTAAGCTGAAGAAGCATGTACTCTTTCTATTTCATAGTGAATGACATTTGCATAAATGCAGTACAAGTTCTCAGAGTGAACTGATGTTAAAAAGAAAATAATTGTACTTCCTAAAACCAAGAAAAGATGTTCACAGTTGTTAAAAATAAAGCTGTAGGTTATTAAAAAGAGAAATTTGAAAAAAACAGCTGTATTTTTCAGTTTTTATTTTGCATTTCCCTTAGCTCAGACAATGAGAATAGATCTGAGATAAAATTTTTTAAAGGATTTTAAAATGCTCAGTTTGTTTACATTCTTATGAATAAGGAGCAAATTAAATTTTGCTAAGGTTAATGGAAGAATGATTACTTATTCTTGAGTATACAGATTGCTTACCAAACTTTTTGTAGAGTCTTAAAAGTTTTGTGAATTTTAGGATAAGCTGAGTACCTCTCCCTCTGTTAATCCAGTAATCAGAAGATAGTACTAAGCATGTTTAAACATCATCAGTATATACACTATTTTTCAGGTGGAAATTTAGTGTTGAAGACCACACGGTAATATCAAATGAAAATGGAAAGTCTAGTTCTTGAGCCAGAATGCATTTGAAAACTCTTGGTAGTAACTAATGAATGAAATAATGCCCTGTTAATAATTCCTAAGTCTGCAGGTTTTTTTAAGTTAGGCAGAATCATTTCTACACTTAATATAACTAATCACAGTGCTATGCATCTAAGAATAAAAATATAGGCCAAAATTCCATTGTATGAGTCTGTTTCTCATGAAAAGATGCATCTACAAAACGACTGATAGTATCACAGTAGAAAATTAATTGATCATATAGGAGGAGTGGAATAGTAGGAATAAACTTCCATAGGAATTGTTGGGTGTAAAATGGACATATTCTGTAGGTGCTGTGAAATGATGCTACCTTGGGCTGCAATCCTTGTGAGACTACTATTGGAAAGGTGCTCACACAATTTATGAGATTTAAAGAACTTAATTTATTTAGGGTACACTTGTATCAGTATACCAAGCCATAATCTTTTTACTGGTCCTGAGGCCAACTCTTATATTTTGGCATCTTGAGCTGGCCAAAGAAAGTGATTGCCTCTCAGGTGCCTCCTAGGAATGGAGGCTGGTTCGTGCTAACTCCAGGACTATGACTGGGAATTGCTGGGAATTGCCTGGGAGACAAGTGGCTAGAAAGCCTGCCTGGCACTGTTGCCTAGGCCCTGACATTACACAATTTTCTAGTGAAAAGGTGTAATTGCTCCGTTGTCTGGGTTTAATTTAAAATGAACTCAGCCATTACTAGACCCCCTTGAAAATGGATCTGTGGCTTTGGAATGGAAAATAAGCTATTTAGCAAGACAGTACTTAGCAACCTATCGCAGTATTAAACTTGCAAGTGGCAAAGCTTAAATGAGCACATTCATATTTTTTTCTTTGCAGCAACTATATTTCATTTGAACAGTTCAAAGAGAGGAAGCAGAGCTTGCTGTACCACAGGATAAGGCAGACAGAAATGGTTGATTGTAGGGAGCTGCAAGCCCCTTCATTTTTACAGGAAGCAGTTCATTGTTTTTTACAAAGTTTCTTTTTTTTTTTTTCTAGTTCAGCTGTGAATATCTCAATTATTCCAAAATGAAATAAATTTTCCCTTGGGACTTGTAAACTAAGTATAAGCATGTTTTTTTCATGCATTATCTAATTTTTCCCCTAGCAAATATTACACATGCAGTAAGTGCAATGCTCAAGATGATTGTTAAATTCTTTCAAGGGTGCAGAAAAGGCTCTTGGTTGAAATCTTACTGGGGAAAATGCCTTTAGTAGCTATTTAAATTTAGAAATCAGTCGAATCAAGTTCATTTAACCAGGAATTTCCAAAACTATTACACTATATCTTAGATTACATGTATGCACATACACACACACACCACCTATCTAGAAAAATTATTCATGCATATCTAAGCTAGTAATGTTATGCTGCCTTCACAGTCAATGGAAAGTAATGCGCCTCTCAATGATATCATTACTTTCATCCCTCTTAAAGACTTATCTTAGGAAAAAATAAGTAGCTCAGAATTATGCATCCAGATTTTAAAAACTTGACTACATGAGGTGAATCCATCATGAAGTGAAGAATTTCAGGACTTTGCTAAGTGTATTCTTGTTTGCTCAGCTGTAACTCATCACTTGTGTGCACGTGCCCTGCATGGTGAGTGAGATAGAGCCCTGTTGTTACCTGAGAGTATAAACAAAAGCTGCACTCCATCATATATATGTCAGAAAGCTGACATACCAGTGCAACTGGATTACCACAGTTTTTAAGAATGTAATTTTTCAGCCATCACATTGGTCTATGAACACTGTCATCTGTGTACGTGGAAGGATAACATATGCAGCTGAAAACAGGGGCAGCTACATTTTTCTAGAGGAAACTAGAGTACTGGCACTATTTTAGGCAGTATGTGCATGAATGAAATTCTATGTTAAATGAAAGAAAACTCCAATAGATGACAAGAGGCCCTGGATCATTTCTGGAGGGTACACAATGTTTATCCTGTTAAGATGTGAAAACAAGGTCTTAATCTTGAAGCCAAACATCAGAATGGAAACTCTGTGCCCAGGAGAAAGTGACCATTCACTGGAGATTTAGCTAACGGGGACTGTGAATAGGCTGGACCTAGGAAATCGGTTATGCTACACGAAGATTTTAATAGAAGAATGGATCATCATAATAAGCAGGTCCTCTCTCTTGTTCCGCAAGCCAGGAATTTTGTTCTCAGTCAAGCCCAAAGCTTCTCTGTGAGCAACCAAAAATCCTTTAGAAAAGCTCGTGGTAGGATTCACTTGTCTGAGTTAGGCATCTACAGTGATGACCTTTGCACTGGTTGTACTTACCTTGAACTCCCCGAGGAAAGGAGAGATGCCTTTAGGGTATGACTCATCTGACCTATTTCAAACGTCATTCTTAAAATGAAACAAATCCTCCCAATGCCAATTTGTCTTCATAGATTAAAAAAGAGAGTCTAGGACAACTAACTCAGATGTAACCATCCACACCGAGAGAGACATCCCACTTCTTCTGTTTCCATATAAAGATTCTAAATGAGACAGTCATCTGTAGCCGTATGTCGGTTGTTCCAATGAACATAGGCCATTCACCACTTTCTATAAAAAAGTCTCCTATCCTGGGCTACCTTTTCGGTGATAGATGCAAGATGTAGCAGATGACCGAAAAGAAACGGAAGTTTTTCAGGTGAGCTCATCTTGGCATTTAACAGTTCCTAATATCATTCAACAATCTTGTGTCGTAAACCTCCATCCTACAAATAGCTGTAGGTGTTACTAAATTTGTGAAGGTGACTTTTACCACTAAGGTGATGACAGAGGACCTGCAAAGGTAATGCTAATAAAATAAACTGCCGCCTATTAAATTAAATGCCATCTGGCTTGGGCTGTACCCCACTTTAAAAGAATTGTACGAAAATCTATGACAGCCATAATAAAGTCTTCCAGTGTCTTCAGTGCAATTCTGATCAGGTTCAAAGCGGACAGTCATTATTTTAGAAATAATACAATAAAAGACATGGAAGAAGGTATATACTAAGAATCCTGAAGAAGGAAAGAAGCAATTTTAGAGAAGATGAGTAATAATGGAAAGTTGCATCTGTAATAGTCTAAAAATATATGCAAAGCAAAACTTGTAGGGTGATATAACATCTTCTATCAGAACACCTGATACAATCATTACAAGAACTTCTTTTACTCTTTCAAACAATGTGAAACAGTCTATTGAAAAATATCATTGCAAACCCTGTAATAAACTTACAATAGCTTTTCCCTGTTGGCTGACTTCTGGTACAAATTGGGAGAAGCAAGAATCCAGTCTCCTTTCATTTATACAGATGTGAAAAAACTCCTCTGAAATACTAACAACCCTCCTGTAGAAGATTTGTGGTAGTAAATGCAAGGTATTAGATCTAAACAGAAAAACAGGCAAAAAAGTTGTTCCTCGGAAAAGGATCTAGAATTTTTTGTGGGATGCTTGAACAGGAGCATAGTGAGATACCAAATAACCCTGAGCTGTACTCAAAGCCATAAGACCTTAATTTAATCGCAATATATGTTGTACAGTGTTTTGGTACCACACTCCAAGACCGATATGAGCCAGTTGAGCAGAGCCCAGAGGAGAGCGGCAAGAATAAAGTGTGGTGAAGAAATGGTGATCTATAGGAAAAAGTAGAGTGTGATTGAATTGCTTAGTCTAAATCAAGAAAACTTCAAAAACGAACAAAAAACCTATGAAGCTAATAATTTGTTTCCTCAGGAGACAGAAATAGAAGAATAAATTCAAATGGCAGAAAAAAAGATTCAGACTATAGAGGAAAAGCTTTGTAATAGAGAGAATGGTAAAGTACTGGAATAGTTTGCCTGGACGATTGTGAAGTCTTCACCATCAAAGTTTCTAAGGGAAGGTTACATGAGCCTCTCTTACATTTGTAAAAGCAAGATATAGCCATATCATGCTTTATGGCCACTTGATCTCTTAAGGTTTCCCTAATCG